AGAAAAATTACCGTAATCTGCACATAATTCCGTAACGATATAATTAAGTCTACAAATCTAATTACATCACTGCATGTAACTTGAATCTGATCCTTTGTATAAACTCATTTCAGAAAATATTATGTAATAAAAAAGTGAAAATAATAAAACGGAGATTATTAATAAAGAAAATGCACATATTTCATGTAAACTATATACATTTTTTTTTTTTTTAAATATCTATTGGTAGGTATGCGATTCTATATTTGAGCCGACATTGTGTAATAAGGAACAATGATAGGAATTTTTCCGCTTTAAGCATTTTAAATGAAAAATTCTTATCTTAAATTGACGTGTAAGACAACAAACTATAGTAATAACTTTTATAAATGAAGAATAAAAGTAAATTAGAAAATAATAGGCCTATATAAACATGAATTACAAATTAAATAAATTTGGCTTAGAAAATTTAGTTTTTAAACTAACTTTTTAAAATTATAAATGCGAACATTATTTAAAGTTTTAAAGAGATTTATATGTGAGAAATGAACGTAGGAATGGGAATAAATAATGAAAGAAAATTATAATTTTTAGTGTCTTTTATTAAATATCTGAGGATGTTCTATAACTAATTTTGAATATTTCAATATGAATTCACGAGTTCGTGCTAAAATTTTTAGGTCGAAATAATAATATTTTTGAGACAGCAAAGTATATATTTTGCATTCTAATGTTAACTTTTGTTATGTAAAAATTCTATTAAAGTTTGTCATTAAGAATTAAATGCATTTTCAGGTTTTTTAACAAAAATGTAGGCGTAATACTTTTTATCAGACATGAAAAGTAAAAATTTCAAAACGTCTGAAAATTTTTGTTTAGATTTCTTTATCTCTCTAGTTATAAATTGATCCACAAGAAAGTTTCATAAACGGAACATTTTATTATAGGCTACATATTAAAATCTTATTTTTAAATCTGTAAGAAAATAAAAGTCGTCCACTTTTAAACAATAAAAGAAAAGAACCTAACACATTTTAAAGTATACCTTCCTAATCCAGTTAAGGTTTTTGGCTTTTAATCTGATCTTTCAATAAAAATCCTTTCTAAGGATCCACTGAAGGATACGAATGTTAATCCCATTTCATCCTACTGGCCTAATGAGATTATCCCCGTTATTCGTGATCTTTCATCCTTAAGTTATAAATATTTAACGAGAAGCTGGCTAATTAAATGAACAGGTGATCCAACACCCAAGATGAGGTCGAGGGGCGAAGGACGTTAAGGAGACAGACATAAAGAATGCCGCGCGCCCAAAGAGAGAATGCCACTTTTCCTTTCGTCTATTACTAAATATAGAGCATTTACAATGGGGTGAGCGTCTGCTGACAAATTCGGACACGTGCAGACCCCTTGTGGCAACAATAGAGGTCCTGAACTGCTTCCGTACTCTTTGAGAAGGATGGATGTGAATGGAGTGAAAAGCAGCTGTTCCAACTCCCGGAACTTCACCCAAAATCGGTTTAGTTTCTTAAAAATGAAAAAGGGGTCACCTTTACTTATCTTTAATTCTTCAAAGAAATTTTTATCTCTGAGTACAATATATCCCCTTTCACTACCAAATCTCAGCTTAATATACCTGCACAGTTATGAATCTATAAGTAAAATTTTTAAATTGATTTATATAATAAATATTCTATTATAAGTTAGATATATTTCATTTATCTAGAGTTTAATTATGTTGGAATTCATTAATATACGGTGTTATAATTTTATTTTTCGAAATTACAAGAAAAAACAAACCAAAAAAAAAATTCAAAAATTCAAAAACAAACTGGAAGTATTCTTAATATTTTTGTTTGATTCTCATATTTCCTATAACACAGCAGAGTATCAATTTCCTATTTCCCAATTATCAGTTTTTCTTTCATCCATTCTCATTGTTATGGGCCTTTGACACTATGAATAAAAACGAAAAAAATGGAAACGTTTAACGCTGCGGTGTAGTGTTAGTCCGTGATTATGTTTTGACCCCTGACTTAGGCGTTATAAAATAGCTCAAGTAGAATTCCCATTTCCAGATACAAAAGCGGATGCCAATGTTAACACAAAAAGAGATTAGTTGAACTAGTATTTAAAAATTGAAAACATGAAATAGGATTTTAAAAAAATATAACTAAAATATTTTGTTTTATGAAGATCATTAGTTTCCATTTTTCCATTTGAAATCTTTTTTTAACTAAACATTTTTCAAAAAGTAAATTTAATTAAATTTATATGCTATTGTTCTTTTACTTTCTGAAATTTCCATGACTTTATTTTGATTAAAGAAGATTTTTTAAAAAAAATTCACTTAATAAAAATTAATTTTATAATTTTTAAGTACAATATGTAAATTTTTGAAGATTAAATTATTATGAATGGATACAAATTATTTGTAAATTGTTTATAAGCATTTATAAGTAACAAATGATGGATATTTTCCAATTCTGAAACGTTTTAAAACTTTAAAATTAAAGTCCTGTATAAATAAATAATGTTTGACAAACATTGTAAACAAGCGAGTGAAAAGCTCCCTCCGAGCCGATTGAGCGCTGGGGGATTATTGGTGGAAAGTAAAGTCCTGTTTACCAATCACCTTTGGGGACGATGAACTCTAGGTTATTGGCTACCATTTAAGTCACGTGACAATGCCGAATAACACGAATGTCATTCACCTCCCCCCGTGACTGCATTTGCACATGCGTTAGTCTTTCCAGTGCCAGTGACCTACAACTAGGCAGCCTTTTCCACAGCCTTGACCCAAGGCTCTTCTGAAATAATCCTTCGGCCCCTTTGAAAATTCTCCTGATGTAATTAACATTCTTAACTATATTTTTTCGCTCCTCTGATTAGAATACCACTCTTGGATGCTCTTCCCTTCGCACCATCGATCGCCTTTATAACGATTTTCTTACTGATCCTAAGACAACGGTCGATGTTAAGAGTTTTCAAATTAATGTTAAAAAGAAAAAGAAAAAAAATTTAAATCAAATTCTGGTTCTGGTTCATCAGATAAATTACACAAGTTGATTTTTTTCCCTCTCTCTTTCTTAATAAGCTTACTTTAAAGGTATATTATACCTATTATCAAATAGCCTATTCAACCATTGTCCTTTTTTTATATACAGTGCATCTATTCCTCTTCAAATCTTTCTCTGACTTATTATATTCTACTAAAATAATATAACTACGCTAATTTTCTCTTCTCAGAAACACTTTTTCTAATAATAAAATTCCAAATTTATCAAGAATTTTCCCATAATTTAAGTAACAAGAACGACGAAATGTTTGATTTTTTAAAATTATGCCAAATTTTTCGAATTAATTAATTACATGTTTTTTTTTAAATCTAAATGTTTAAACTAAATGAATTGCTAAAAAAATCCGACATTTTGAATCTATAGCCTCGTGGATATCCGTCATTTGCATAGAAGTACGGTATTTTGGGGGGGCGAAACAGTTTTAAAATAGCCTAAATATTTGCGAATATTTTTGTTTAATTTGTTCCTTTAAATGTATTTATAAAGTTATAATTTACTTAATAGATTATTAAGTCTATACGAGAAGTTTTTATAGACTTTTCTAAAATATCAGCTTTCGGTAAATTTTAATTAAAATAAGATATGAATCCACAATTTAATATTAAAACTATAATAAATACTATAGAATATTATTAAACCTAATTCAATTATAAGTAGGCTACTCATCCCTCCGTTTCGGGCAAAGGCTCAGTCACGTTTGTTTTGGTAAAAGGCGCTGCACTCTGAGCTTCATTGACTTTTAATCTGAGTCAACCCTTAATTAAGTTTAAGGGGTCAACGCCTGTTTGTTTGATACATTTATTTTAAAATATTTTATATACTGTACGTTCTAGACAGCATTATAGGCCTGTTAGATTCCTACGTAAGCCTGTAGGCTATTTACTTTAGAAGATTCTTACGTTTCTATTAAACACTTAATTCATTAGTAACTGTTATTAAAATTATTTTAAATTATATTAAAGTCTTTACAAATAAATCAAAAGCTTCTTAATCCTCACGCCCCACTCTTTAATGAAAGTTTAATAAGAGATTAATAGTTGAGCCTCCTTATATTAAAAAAAAATGCCTATTATATAAAACATAAAGTAGCATCGTACATTAATTTAACGGGTTTAATAAATGAGTCGTGTTAAAGGTAAAGAGTAACAGCCTTTTGCATCATCAAAGGCCATTCTGGCAAAAGTTGCTCGGACGAGTGGTTATGAGAATGACTAGTTTTTAATGGAAAGTGAAGCACAGGAAGTTCGACTTATTACGTCACTAAACACGATGGATGACGTGTTGTTGACATGCAAGAGTTCACTGGCTTCGGGCACCAGGGTAGTCGCACTTCATTCCCTAACTCTCTCGAGGTCAGTAGCCTAGAACCCCGTTAATGCCGGGACGGCCTTGGTTGTGTGTCTGGAAAAATTCTCTTTTAAATAACAAAGCAAATTTTAAAATATATTCTACAAGTAAAGTCAATTGCTTTAATGTTAGTGTTTCGCATCTTCATTTCGTAACGTTAAAAATTAATGACTACCCGCGGATTTACACGTGAAGTTTTAAAGGGGTTTTTTTTTTTTGGTAAATGAACCATTTTACATCTTAAAGATTATAACAGAAACTGGAATTTATTACGTAGTACTTAATAACTAACGTTAAGATTTACAAAAAAAGAGATCATTTATATAATTAAAAGTAGTTAGAAAATATTGAAAAGAGACTATTTAAATAAATTCTTTAAATTTCCAATGTAAAATAGGAAAATATTTTATTTAAATTTATAAAATCATTTTATAAATAAATAAAGAAAATTTTAATTATTTATAATAGAATAATTCTATATTTATTTAATCATCCATAAAACAAGTTAAAGGTAGAGAAATTAGCTGATTTTTATATAAAAACAGTGTTGTCTGTATCGGGTATCTTTTATATATACGGCGATTCTTCTTTCAGAATTGCAACCACTTTCTTTCGTCTTTGTATCCGGCCTTGCAGGATCTGACCCCCGTCGAGAGAAAGAGTTGATGCCCTCTCAGATAGTCGAGCAATGCTCACAGCCCACTGTTCTGTTAATAACAGGTTGAGATGCCACGAGGTGAAGTACCATCTTAGGAACAACTGGCTGCCAAGAGAATAATGAGGAGCTTACTCAGTCGAACAAAGGCTCTTTCTGAATGGTTCAAATACCTATTTTTGATTCGTATTTCGTTTATATATAAGCTTTTATATTTTTTAAATTATCTGCTTATAAATTAATGTTTTCGCATGAAAATTCTAATTATCTCAATGAGAGATTTACAAACGAGTGATGTACAGTATATGTATTATTTGACCTACGAATTTTTTCTAATCAACACAGCATTTATAAATACATCTATGCTATCGTTTCGATCGCAAACATTGCCATATTTTACATATACATATTTAAAAATTTATTCGAATATAACTATTGATTTGACAGATAAATATTTCGACTAATATATATCCGGTGGGAAGCGCAGAAGTGGAGAAAAACAAACAAAAGTAAGACATGTGCATCCATTCGGGCACAGATAGATCTTGAAAGTCGTCACGGAGGAATACAGTTTCCCAGGAAGAAGACGGCAATGACCTAGAGAGAAGAGCCGATGACCCAGCCGAGTGACTACCGGTTTGATATTGCAGAGATGCAGGTTTTTGTAACACCTGCTGCCATATTGCCTTACTTCGTTTTTCCGCTTTTTCTCCAACTTGTTCAATGGGGAACCTGGCTAATTCGGAAATAAATTGCCAAAACTTGTTTCTCAGATATTTTTACATTTAATATGAAGTATTTGCCATTTTTTTCTCTATAATATCGAGTACAAAAAAAAAGATAATACGCTAAATTAATACAACGAAAACTCTTTAATAACGTTCGATATAACCGATAAAAAATGGTAATTGCTGTTTTAATGATTTGTTTTTGTTCTTGAGGTATTATAAAGTATTAATTGGGCTAACTTATTTCCATATAAAGAGCGATTATTTAAAAATAAATCAAATAAATGCCGTTCTCGTTATTAGATTTCAATAAAATTACATAAAAGTATGGAGATTAAACAAACATCAGAATAAAGTCTTAATAGGAGTTTTTTTTTTTTAAATAAATTAATTTAATAATGTATTATTTTACTCGTTTACATAATACCCGTAAAATTTATACTTTTCTTTATTTATCTTAAGGAAAATATTCCTGACCTTGTGAGAAAGAGTTACATAAATTTTGGAATTAATTATGTCGTGTTTTATTTCTTAGAAAATTATTTATAATAACATTAAACAATATTCCTCGTTTCCAACCGATTTATAAATTATTAATTTTTTTTTTCTTATATTTATAACTAATTAATTAATCACTTTCTAAAACACTCAATGGATTCTTTTGGTCTAGCTCGTCGTTTAAATAACTGAAAAATAAACCAGAAGGTTTGGCTTTCAGCAGTCCTCCATCATTTATCAACCCTAAGGTCCCTTTGTTGTTTAAGAATCGTCAACTATTAAAGGACAATGTTTTCATCAAGCGACAGAACTTCAATAGTAGCTTTTATGACGTAACTTAAAGTGTAAAGATTTATCGTCCTGCAACAAATATTATTACATTGACAGGCCAACTGGTTCAATCCCATTCAGAACCGTTCCTGCCTCCGACTCGTTTGTTTCCATCAACACTTTCTCGTTCATAACTGTCATGTTATGTAATGGGAACTACAAAGGAGTGAGCCCTGTACCCGAGAACTAAATACTGTATCAGAGACTATTACACAAGCGAGCAGACTGCTTTTTACACTATGATCTTTGATTCGTTTTACTGATGTCTATGTTATTACATTCGAACCGGTTATTTGTAAACTGTACGCATCGTAAAAAAACCGTACAGTTTCGACTTAGTTAAGAAGTCGTAAATAATAATTCGTATCGACGTCAAATTGTCAGGAATTTTTAATAATTAACTGGGATAAACGAAGCACTTTCTAACTGGAAATTGTAATATTTCCCCGGGCTAAAAAACGACAAAATAACCTAGCACGGCTCGTCCCGTACTTTCGCTTCGTAACGCACGTTATCTCTACAGTTTACATATACATAAATATGATGAGGAAAAAGGGGAAACTATCACTGCACGTGACGTCGGTATTGATTGAACTTCTTTTATTTTAGGACTATTTTATTTATAGACGAAAGTCGACCTAGAAGATAATGTGGATAAAATTGCCAATGGAGCAGGTTAGATGGTTTGCAAGGCCTCCTTCAGGGGGTGTTTCTGTTCCGGTGAGCACAATCGCTGTCATTGACCGTCTCGACGCCTCCAACCTTGGCCGACAGGTAGACGAGACCTTGACGTTTCTGCGCATGTTCGGCACTTTCCCTTTTTCGTCCCGCTCCTCCGCCTCTCCAGGGTCCAGTCGGGTCCAAAACACCGACCATGCCGAAAGCCTTTCTCGTGCGCAAAAATCGTACCCATTGTCGTTGGGGGCCAGGGGGCACGGTCACACCGCCCCCCAGCCCGGAACAAATGATAGTCGCCGTCACTAAAACGGATAGTCTACCAGGTATGTTTTTTTTTTTTTTTTTTTAACGTTTGACATTTTCGTTAAGTGTACAGATAATGTTCCCAGAATCGTTCTGTTGTTTTCGCTGAGCTTAAAACGTTCTTCTCGTTTTCGCTTCTAAAAACCGTTCGAATTTTAATCGTTTATGATCCGTAAAACTCCCATAAGTAGTCATTAAGTAAGCTTTATATAACACTACGTAAAACGAATAATCGTGCACACGTGCAGAAGATAAAACGTTAACTAACGCCAAACAATTCATTTGCATATCGGTACGGAGATTTTAGCGTTATTATAAGTATAAAGGTAAATTACACTCCGATATCTCGATAGTTTCCTCAATATAAATTTATATGTATACGTATTTTACATTATCGTAACTTGTAAAAAAAATTTAACGAAGAACGATCGATATCCTGTTCGATTAAAACCAAATCTTCGGTAAACAATACGTAGTCTTGGATTAAATCCAAAGTTCTGAGAATATCCATTTTCACATTAACTGAAACTAATCCTAAATGTAATTTATAATGGTATTTTTAAGGTCGGAGACGAATGCAGTCATTCTTTCTTAATGTTTTTTTTAACCGAAACCCATTTCTGAAAGTCTCTTCCGAGAACTTCTAACCCTTGAAACCCAAAATGACTCCGACTTACCCATAACCTTAGTCAGACGATTTCACTAAAATAACTGCCAGATTGATAACGTAATCTATTACATTTTTTTTCGGTTTTTTTTTTCGAAGGAGGATGTTCCGTCCCTGACCTCCTTCGAAATCACGTGAATTGAGTTCAGGGCCATCGATGTCACGTTAATTTTATGCGTGCGTTCGTGAAATGCATTTTAAGAAGTTGGACCAAAACAATCGTCATACATGTTATTTTTTTTCGTCAAACTCAAATTATGTTAAGATGGCCTATTCAAAAAAAAAAAAAAAATGCCCATAAACTAACTAACACCATAATAGTTGAATCTAGTTAGATCTGGTGTTTTCATCTGAAACGTTTCCATGGTTTATTAATGAAGTTAACTAGAAAAAGTAGATCTATTCTAATAGATATTCGTGTATGTTTCTGAATAATTTTTA